AGTCGTATTAATGACCTCCACAGCTATTGGACTGATTACATTTTCATTGGAATTTTCTGATGTTGATGACAAGGCTGTAACTTCCTCTTCATTAAATCTGGTTTTTCCTATGGGACTATTCTATGTGAAAACTGCCAAATAATGTTGCCAGCTCCATTCTAGGCTCCTAGTTGGCAAACCTTAAGGTCCATATGCTTCATCATGGATCTTGGGCCTCTTCAGTAATGCTGCTCATGCATACAGCAAAAAAATTGAAAAATCTTTGCTCTTGAAGTAGAAGATTTTGAGAAATGATACAGTCATTTCCTCTTACAACTTTAAGATTTGCCATGGTTTGTTTTATTAATGCTCTGTACTTAAATATCATTTTAGTTTGGCTTGCCAATTCTTTTTTGTTGTTCAGCATTTCTTTGTTTTATTAATGCTCTGTACATAACGATCATTTTAATTGAGGCTTATCAATTCTTTATTCTTTCTCTGTTTTGTATGTGTAATTATGGTGTATGTGCCTTCTATTAGTTTAGAACAAGTGCTATTGAGTTAACTCAATATAAGGCTTTCTATTACAATTCTATTCTCCAAAGTTAGGCTTCATCTTTTTGTAATCTTGGATTAAAGTGCATGGTCTCTTGTACTCAAATAGGATTAGATGGAATATTATTATAGTTTTTGGGCATTCTGAATGGTTACAGACTATGCACTTTTGCTTCCTGTGCAAGTGTTTTAACTACACCATCATAAAGGTTTTAACTAGCCTTAGTTTTACATCTCAACTTCATTCTTATTCCAGTGGTATTATTTATATTGGCCTGAATTAGATGTCATGAAGAGCTTTATCAGACTTGGATCATAGAGGATAGTTGAACTGCTAAATCCAGTGGCTCAATTAGTTTTCTGGGTCCTGATTTTTTGATAGTTTTATAGGCTGACTGATTTCACTGCCTGTTAAACTGATAAAACTGTGGGTCAGTTAGCTGTCTGGTCTTACATTTGTGGTGTGCTTGGTTCTAACAACACTAATGAAGACTCATAGTAAACAATGACATCAGTATGGCTTCATAGTTATGAATAAAGGAGTCAGAATTTGGATCATGAAAGACAAGTTTTGTCCATGCTGGGTCCATTGCTACAGTTTTTTAGGATTGCAGACAATATTGACTTATTTTTTACCTGCTTAATGTGTAATTCACTGTAATAAAGTCATTTATTGGTTCTTTCATCTGTACATTCTTATGTTTTAAAATAAAATTGTTTTGTTAAAAAGGGGAGAAAGGTTTTTTACAAGGCTTTGTTTGCTAACCAAAGAATTCTAGATATATTCTTTAAATTATCGTGGTCTTTCTTTAATTACTAAGTCCATTTTTTAATCTTCGATAATTTTCTTTCACTTCAGGCTAGAGGGTTGAAGAAGCATCTTAAGAGGCTCAATGCCCCAAAGCATTGGATGCTTGACAAGCTTGGTGGTGCATTTGTAAGTTTTAGATTTTAAAATTCCTGTATTGATGCTATTTTGCCTTTGTGTCCTTGTATAAAAGTTTACCTTTTTTTCTTTCCTTTTCTTTTGTAGGCTCCTAAGCCTTCATCTGGCCCCCACAAATCCAGGGAGTGCTTACCATTAATCCTCATTCTTCGAAACCGCCTGAAGTATGCTCTTACATACCGTGAAGTTATTGCCATTTTGATGCAACGACATGTTTTGGTTGATGGAAAAGTTAGGACAGACAAGACATATCCTGCTGGTTTCATGGGTAATAAACACTCCCAGCTACTTAAATATGTTATTGTTATCATGTTAGAATCTTCTTGAGAAATGTTAGAATTAATATAGTTGGAAGAAGTCATCCTTGAAAATTGTTCTGTGCACACTCATTGGTCAAGATAAGTCGGGCTTGTATTCAAGGTCAAACTATCCTTGCATGATTTTATTTAGGATTAATAGGTTGATGAAGCGATAATGTGGTCAAGGGTTTTTGGATCTCCATAGTAAAACCTGCTGAGTTAGCCTTCTAAATATGATACTGCRGGTTAATTGGCTTACCTCTAATCTCACAGAGTTAAGTGGGAGAGGAGGTTGGCAAACGGGATGGCTGACCTACTAGCTAAGCAAGGGGTGAACAGGGATCAATTATTTTGGGTTCATCTGTAATTTTACTTTGTTTTTGAGGCAGCAACTTGCGCCTCCTGAGAGATATCAGTTTTGTATGAATTTGTTTGCTTACTTTTATTATTGTTAATAAAATACTTGATTATACATAAAAAATGTTCTCAAGGAAGTGTGGAGTCCTGAAAAGATGTACAGGGTAGTGAGAAACGATTTTAGGGTGTGTAATGTTATACAGATTTGAAGGCCAGTGGTTTGCTGTGCAGCATAGACTTTATAAAACTGTTGGCTTTATATTGTTTTGATTAATTTATACTTGTTTATGACGTTATGKCTTCTATGTTTTACCAATGGTTACTGTTATCAGATGTTGTATCCATTCCCAAGACAAATGAGAACTTCCGTCTCCTCTATGACACAAAAGGCCGCTTCCGCCTTCACTCAATTAAGGATGAAGAGGCAAAGGTTAGTTCCATCTGAAACATCTGAAGATGGTTGAAGGAATTTTACAATGGCAATAATAAAAGGAACACATGTCAAGGTGGTCTATGAAAAGCTCTTTTAAATTTCTATGCCAATTTTTCCCTCTTGCAGTTCAAGCTATGCAAGGTCCGGTCGGTGCAGTTTGGAGACAAGGGGATTCCCTATATCAACACGTATGATGGACGCACAATCCGTTATCCAGACCCACTTATTAGGGCTAATGACACCATCAAGCTTGACCTTGAGACCAACAAAATTGCAGATTTTATTAAGTTCGATGTTGGGAATGTGGTTATGGTGACAGGTGGTAGAAACAGGGGACGAGTTGGAGTTATCAAAAACAGGGAGAAGCACAAGGGGAGCTTTGAGACCATTCATATTCAGGATGCTACAGGTCACGAGTTTGCTACCCGTCTGGGCAATGTCTTCACAATTGGCAAAGGCACTAAACCATGGGTATCTCTTCCCAAGGGCAAGGGTATCAAGCTCTCGATCATTGAAGAAGCAAGGAAACGCATTGCAGCAGCAGCAGCAGCCTCAACGGCATAAAACAGTACTTGTGAGTGGGCCAAGATTTTTATTGGGAGCTTTTCTTTTGTTAAGTTAAATGGTGACTGTTTTTACATAGTTGAAATTGGAGTCTTTGATAAGCAAATTTAGATCACTTGTTGACATTTTCCCTAAGTTCAGATTTTTGTAGTTCGAATTCAATTGGAGAGATAGAAGTTGCTTAATCAATATGTTGTGTTTTATAAAATTTGCATTCCTATTGTCGTGTACCCCAACCTACGCTCTAAGCTCTTCCATTCCCACCCTTGGCACATAGTCAAGTCGCACATTGCAAGTTTGGCTACCAATCTGAGCTTCATGTTGCGATGGGATTCCCTTCAAGGAAAACATCTGCTCTGAAAGCATGTTTATCCAGCTATACACATTGGAAACATCTCTTCATGAAATGGATTAAGCATACATTACCAAAGATATTCCCTATGTCCAGCTGCATATGTGATCAGTGCTTGCAGCCGGACCCTTATGGTTGTCAATGAACCGGTTTTGGTGGGGACCCTTTTCAGTCCAAAATCAATTTGGATGGATTATGGAACAAGACATTGGATTGGACCAATTTGGTCCACTATTTATATCGTATGGGTTGGATTAACCTATTAAACCAATATCTGGTCTATTCAAGGTTCAAAATATTGATATGCCCGATACGCTGGTAAGGGTGTATCAGGCGTTTCCATACATTTTTTTTAATTTATTATTTTTACTTTTTTTTTTCAAAATCAGTTCAGGGGGCTAATTTAGGACCACCCCCTGAACAGGTCAGACCCCCGATACACCCACTGTAGGGGCGTATCGGAGGGGTCCTGGAATGATATGTATTGACTGATACGGGCCGATCGATACATGTCGATATTTTGAACCTTGGGTCTATTGATATAAATAAGATTATAGGTATCAATAGATTGGATTTGGGTTGAAATCAAGCTAAATAACAATGAATTTGAAAAGATTGGACGACCTGGATATTGAATTGGACTGTTTCAAAATGGTCCAAAATATTCATTGGAGTAGATTGGATTTAGTCTTACAATTCAGATTGGATTGGATCGGATTTGGTCCAATCCGATTGACACCCTTACCCCCTTCAGGCCATCCTATCATTTAGCCTAAGATGGGCAAGATTTATTTATTAACATATGGACATCAGGTAGTTGGGGCTACTTCAGCATTGGTATCTGAAAGACAAATCAACACGCAACATAAAAATGGTAAGTTGGTGACCAAGGTTCAAAGTATCGGAAATGCAAGGTATATCGGAAAAATAATTTTAAGAGACGTAATACGTTTTGGATATACATGGATACAGACGAAAAATCAAGATAAGTATAAATATGTTATATTCAAATAAATCATAAAAAATAAGTCATTTAAATTTAAGAAATCATTGGACCAAATCGAGTCAAATTGACACCCTTTCCCCCTTCAGGCCATCCTATCATTTAGCCCAAGATGGACAAGATTTATTTATTAACATAGGGACATCAGATAGTCGGGACTGCTGACATTGGTATCTGAAAGACAAATCAACATGCAACATAAAAATGGTAAGTTGGTAATCAAGGTTCAAAGTATCGGAAACACAAGGTGTATTGGAAAGACAATTTTAAGAGACGTATTGGGATATGTTTTGGATACGCATGGATACAAATGAAAAATCAAGATAAGTATAAATATGTTAGATTCAAATAAATCATAAAAAATAAGTCATGTAAATTTAAGAAACCATAATTTAATTTTTATATAAAATGTGATGTATCGAGATATAATTAGTAGCTGTTGAAAAATGATGGAATAACTAAAATGTGTAAAAAAAAAACTAATACAAATGTATATACATAAATTTTCAAATAACCAATATAATTATCTTAATATTTATTAATATATAAATTTTAATAATTCATTTCAACATTTATTAATAAGCACCACTAAGAATTGAAAAATTGACTTAAAACTAAAAATGCATATGATTGCTATAAACAAATCAGAGTGGTTTAGTGGTGAAATTATGTGCATTAAAATCTTGTAACCAGAGTTTAAGTCTTGCTATTGTTAATATTTATAGTTTTTACACTAACAAAATGAAATTAATGAGAGAGAGAGAGAGAGAGTCGTTAATTAATAGAATTAATGAGAGAATTGTAATTGGGAGCTAAAATTCAAATTAAATTTAAATTTGCCTTAAATATAAGAGTTATTAACTAATTAATGAAGAAGTTAGACTTAAATAGAGAAGTAATAAACGACATTAATGAGTCAGTATTAAATCCGATACAAATCCGTAACAGCCCGATACATACGAAAGAAACAGAACACATCATTTTTACATGTTTTGTGTATCGGTTTCTTATCGAAATGGTACATATCGGCTGATATGTTGTGATATTTTAAACCTTGTTGGTAACCAATAAAGTGGTCAAAGGTTGGTTGGTGGGGTTGATTTGTCAAATTCTTCCAGAATCTTGTCTTTCCTACTGCATATATTTCTTCCTTGTGCAAAATCTCGTTGTTAGGTTCGGTTTTAAAAACCTTGGTTCAGAACATGATCTTAGAGCTTCTCTATGGGTCTCCCCTCTAGCCCCCTTAAAAGAAAAAAAATTCCAACTCTAATCAATAACGTATCCAAATTTGTCTAAAACCCGTTCGTTTATTGGTAAATAAGTTTGGAAAAGTTGGTATATCTTTTTCTTATTAACTAACTTTACAATGTTGTTTTTGCAAGTTACTAATGAGCTCTATAGTAAAATAAGTTCCACTTCTCTGGGTAAAACGATGGGTAAGCTATGATTTAGTAAGCGAAAGTTAAACAATAGAAACACATAAGAATATATAATTGTTTTATATTTTTATTTTTTAAATAGTTAATGATTATTTATATTATATATATTTTTGATTTTTACAAATACGAAAATAACAATATTTAATTCAAGCTAGGGTTGCTCATCAAATTGATGAAATCGGCCAACTTGATCAATTTGACTTGGTTGGTCAGTTTTCTAGTATTTTTGGTCAAATCTGGTTTAATAATTTCCCAACTTGACAAGATTGGATAAGTTTTGCTTTGGTCATTTGGTAAACTAACCAAAATTGAATGACTTGACTATAGATATATATTAATATTTTATATTTTAAATATATTTTTTTAATACGGTAAAGTGGAAAAATTATCATATTTCTTAGTCTAAAATATTTTATATCATCAATTTAAAATTTAATAATGTTACTACAATTTTTTAAATTTAAATTTAATTTTATTTCATTTTTTTGAACCAACTGACCAAACCAAAAATCAACCCAAATCGAAACAACCCAAGTGGTCGGTTTTCACAAATGGTCAGTCAGATTTAGGTGACCAACTCCCTAATTTGACCAGATCGATTTGGTTGGCCAAACAGCCTACAACTGAACGAAACAAACCCGTGAATACTCCTAATTTCAGCTAAATTAAGTCTAATCTCTAATAAATAACAATACTTTAATTTTCAATAGCTATTGAAAATTTATAGTGAAAATATACAATTATTGATACTGAAAATATATAAATAACTAACAAAAATAAATACTAAAAAAATATTAAATTAGTCAATAAATAGTATAATCTCAAAAATAGTTTAATCTCTAATAAATATTGATCAATAAATTATAACAAAAATACAATAAATTAAATTTAAAACATTAAATAATAGTTTTTTAACTCCAATATTTATTGAAAATTTTCTGTTAAATAACAAAAAAATAAATTTATACATAATTATTGAAAATATATTTATCAAAAAAATAACAAATAATTACTGATATACAATTAATATTGATTTTGACATATATAATAATATAATAAATATAGATTGAGATTTTAAAATTATTATTAATAAATATTAATTTTTTGAAATTATTTTCTAGAATTATTAATTGATATAAGTGAAAGTTATTTACAATATTATTTATTTATTTAAATAATATCATTATTTAAATTTAAAATATTAATTATTTATTGAATTTAATAATCCACAAAGGTATAATTTATACTATTATTACATAATTTCGTTATAAATTTTGTAAAATATTATATTATTATTAATTTCAATATTATGTTATCATTATTTTTTCTACTTTTAAGGATTTTTAAATTTATTACATAATTTTGTTATTTAACTATTTAAAATCTAGTTATGTTAAATATTTCATTATTTAAAATATTTAGTTATTTAAATATTTAAGTAAGATGTAAAATATTTAATCGTTTTTTTATTTGAATTTTATTTGTTTTAAATCTATTACCTAATATTTTTTATATAATTATTTAGCCATTTTTAACATTTTTTTATTTAAGATATTTAGTTACTAAAATATTTATATAATATTTTATATTTTTGGTGTTAATTTTTTATTATTTGAATAAGATTTAAATTGAATAATCAATGAAACCATAATTTATATTTTTAGTAGATAATTTTTGATGAATTTTGTAAAAATATAAAATTATTAATAATATGAAGATTATTGAATCTATTAGAATTATTTTTTTAATATATAATTTCATTAGAATATTTAAATAATTCTTAATTTTTTAATTCATACTTTCTTTAGGTAGATATAGATAAAAAGTGGGGGAGATGATAAATAGAAATTAGAGATAATTTAGGAGAAAGTGGGGGAGGTGGTTTAGGAGAAATTTTAGGAGATGAGATTATTTAAAAAAGAATTTTGCCCTTTTTTATTTTAGCTTTTTTTATGGGTAAAAGTGTCATTTTATTACTTACCTGGGAATCCTAGAAATCAAAAGAACATGGGTAAGTGCATTTGCGTAAATGCACTTACCAGGTAAGTCACAAAGATGCAAACAAATGATACATGACACTAGTAGAATGGAATGGTCCAATTTCAGTGCCATTGTAAGCGGATACAACACATGATCAATACAATCGACTCTCAAATTTTAAAACCCAACCCTCAATCATATATTTATTGCATCAATTAAGCTAATTATGTACTAGTTTTGTTAAATATATGGTACTATCTGGCTCAATAGGTAAGGTCTCTGGTTGGTTGTTGAAGGCTTAAGATCAAACCCCCACTATCACCAGAGTAGTCTTTACTCTTCCGTGAAGGATAGGAAATAAAAACCCTAGCTTTATATTTAATCTAGGAAAAATCCGTGTGGTCGGAAAGACATT